GAAAGCTCTCCATGCATAGAATTCGAGCTGCAGTGGTACTCGTTTTCACTTCTTGCCTTTCAGCCAGGGTGAAACTCCTTTTTTACGTATCTGCATATATGCAAATGTCATATTGTGACGACTCCGGTGTGTGTGTGTGTGTGTGTGTCTATCCAAGTATTTGAGTTCGGCAACAAAGCAAGCTCCGACGCCAAAATTTTGCCAGTGGTTTCCCTGCCTAAGCGCATCACACAGAACAAAGCTTTCAGCTGCGCAGTTAGTGCATTCTGCAGAGGCTGTTTTTCTAATTTTAAAGCAAAATAACGCAGTGAAGAACTATATCAGAAGGTACCTCATAATCCCAGTCTTGATCAATCAGACATTTCGCTGACCATTCGCGTTTCATCCCACTCTGTTTGCAAAATGTTTCAATCATTTGCTGCTGCATTTCTGTGTCTCCGCCAGCAGCACGCTGCGCTGGAGTTGGCTCCATCAGCACCGGCATAACACTGTCACTACTGTTTGTTACAGATGTATCATCTAATTCATCGACTGCTGGAACTGCCGAGTCGGGAACTGCCTAAAAATTAGCATATTATTCTGAAAAAGATCCTATATTACATATGAATTTGCTTAGCTCTGACCAAAAAGGAAGAAATACGCGAAAGGAAAAAAAAACCTTTAATAAGTTGGTCATCATTATCTTGTAACGTTGTATCCTTTCGGGGAACACACCACTGACGAAGAGCATATCGCTGACAATTGCTATCTTTCTGTAAAAATTTCGATCAGAATGATGCCGATATGCTGAGATCTTATCAAGACTGCTGAAATCTATTACTGACCGGCGCGAAAACGCGACGCTATAACTAAATTACTGGGTTGTCAAAAGGAACTTCGCGATTCCCAGCTGACCTGCGTTTTTAGCTACTTGAAAAGATTTATTTACAAACTGGAAAAAGCAACGACACCGGCCTATTTTACTTGTGACAGTAGGACAATACCAGTAACGCTCGTTATCGATGTTCACTAACTTTTACGAGAGTGCACGGGAAGGAAGCCAAAAGAAATTCTATGTCTTCACAATACTCAGTACTCCAGGAACAATTAATCAATCTCAGTTATAGTATCAATTTAGTCGGAAATATGGGCTCAAAATAACAGAAGTGACAGAAGTTGCTCAAAAACCACAGAACTGATATATTATTCAAATCGAAAATGCAACACGAAAAACTTTACGGATACCTAAAAGCGAGACTTCTATAATAAGGAAACTTACCCTTTTCCTTTATTTACAACGACGAAATTGCGGCAAAAGTATTTAAGTTCGTCATTTTCTTGAACTTTAGTCATGCTGTCGCGGAAGAATCCTTGAATTGCAAAACATATGTGTTTCTCCTGCAAACGAGCATTTCAAACTTCTGTATCCTTATTACTTTCCACGTCTGACTAATTTTTTTTTTTAAAGCAACAACCACTGAGTGCTTCTGAGTGTCATACTGAGGTTGTGGTAATTTCTCGTATGCGAATTATTCTCCCAGAA